GGCATATCTAACGATTAAACTAATACGTTTAATTACGTACTACCAGCTGTTATCGTTAATTATTTAATTTTATTTATTGTTTTGTGGCTTCTTTTACTATTGTTATCTGTAATTCACCGTATTGCAACTAATTTTTTAAAATTCTTCTTAATTTAAATACGTATTTTCATTGTTTATTCTTAATAAAAATAATACTTTATAATTGACATTTGGTGTTTTCAATATAGGAAACTCACCGCGTATTATCAAAAGTAATCTAGTAGTCCAGAAATCTCACGAATTAATTTTGTGTCAAGAACTGTTTTATATGTATAACTATTATGATGTATAATATGGTAATATACTCCGTTCCTATTTAATCTAAACAATAGAAGATTAAATGATAGCGTTTATACGTACATTCCATTCTTAGCGCGGGAATAATGCGTCAGAAATTTCAGCTCTTCGTAAAAATCGTAAATATTTCGTAGACACACCGCGCGGTGACTTTTCTTTCTCGAAAACACCAATTGAGAATAGTAATATCCAGCTACTAAACTGTCAGTTTGGATGTTTGAGTGACAACAATTAACTTAAATTATTTGCTTTGTAGTTCTGCTAAGAATTTCACATTCATCTTTCTGAAGAACTAAACGATTTTAGCTACTTTCACAAAGAACAGTAAGTAATGGGAAACCTACGAAAGAGAATAAAATTCTTCTTAAGGCTATGGAAATACACACAGAGTGCACTACTTCGACGATTGTTTGAAGTTAACCAAATCCGCCATCATCATCATAAGGTCGTCAGTCCAGTCAGACTGGTTGGACACGCACCTCCACTCTTTCCTATCCTGAGCTAGCTAATCTTCGCATTTCCCTAAAACTAGAACAACCAACATCCTTAGCTATTTGCAAACACTAATATAATCTAGGTCTATCTCCCCCCTTCCTGACTCCCGTCTGCCTCTAATACGTCTCTGACTAGACCTTCATGTCTGTGAAAGTGTCCTTCCAAACTATCTCGCCTATTTCTTATTGACTACCATAGACTTCTCTGTTCTCTGTTTTTTCGCCCTTTTTCCTATCCTTCTCGGTACAATTTTAGTTAAGATTTTTGACGAATGGGAAATTAAGCTAGTTGCTCTAAATGTCTCGCACCTATCCGCGCCTCTCTTTTTAGATATGGTTAATACCACGTTTCGTTTATAATCCTCTGGAACTTTCCCCATCTCGTAAATGTAACTAACTAACTTAAACATACGGGAAAACCTAGCTCCACACTATCTTCTTTCTCTAATATTTCTCCTAACTCATGGCCTGCGTATAGGTTCTCTAAATATTCTTTCCACCTGTCTGCCATTTCCTCATTTTCTATCAGAATGGCCCCTGCCTCGTTTCTTATATTATTACAACTGTACCCTACATCTCTAAAATTCCTTTTAATTATACCATAAGCCTCATCGGTTTTACCTACTTCAAACTTTTCTTCTACTTTTTTGCACATTCTATCAATTCACTGTTTCTTAGCTGCCCTACACTTCCTAATTATTTCCCACTTTATAGCCTTATATCTTTTTTGCCCTTCTTCGTCTGTTCTGTTTTTGTATTTCCGCCTTTCTTCTATTAAGCATACAATCTCATTTCTAAGCCAAGACGTCTCCTACCTTCCCTCTTTTTCAGAATTTTCAGTTTAATATATGTCATCATAACTACTAACTTATGATCGCTATCTATATCTGCTCTTGGATAACTCCTACAGTCCTTCACTTGATTTTTAAATCTTTGCCTAACAAGTATGTAATCTAACTGATATCTCCCTAAATCACCTGACATCTTCCACATATAGCGCCTCCTAACGTGATGGTTGAATAAATTATTCGCGACGGTTAAGTTATGTTTACCGCAAAATTCTATCATCAGTCTATCTCCCCTATCATTTCTACTGCCTAGTCCAAAAGAACTTGCTATTGCATCAACTTTACCGTCACCTATTACTACGTTGAAGGTTCCTTCAACTATTAGGTTTTCCTGCCCTTTATCTAAACTTAACACGTTTTTTATATCTGCATAAACTCTACTACATCTACTAATACCGTTTTTACCAGCTTCAAATTTAATTTAACTATAACCATCCTATCGCTTTTTTGTAAATAACCTTTTACACTCTGCCCTACATTCCTACGCATCCGGTATGTACTATTCTAAAGTCTCCACTCCAGAAGTCTCCAGCTTCGGGCCAACACACTTCACTAATGCCTGCTATATCTAATTCTAATCTATTCATCCCCATTTTTGAATTTTCCAATTTCCCTACTTGCCTCATTGTCCTAACATTCCACGCTCCGACTCGTAAAATATTATTTATGGTTGAACCTATGGTCCGGCTCCTAAAATAATCGAAACTCGCATGCTGATCCACCCACTCTAGTTTGTACAAAAATTTCGTGAAAGTTCAAGTCCCGTCGGATCAGAAACGATTTTCCAAATCCGCCATAATATATATACCTTGTGTGTAATAAACCCTCTTAGAAGGTATGGATGAGAAGCTTGTGGGTACAGCTATTTTTTCTGAGAATATTGTTGCTCCAGCTTTCTTACTGTAGAGAAGGTATGATTTTTTGCTACCTACTGCTCTGTGCTACTTTAAAAAAAATGATAGCTTGAAAACGGTAAATTTTAGAATACGAAAGACTTATGAAGGTCTACCTAAAATCATAAGTAAAATTTAAAATCGTCACATTATACAGGGTATTTTGCATATTTTTGCTGTGTGACATTTTTCTTTGAGGGAGAGTGAGGCCGATGTAGTTCCAAATCTGTGCATTTTAATATCTTCTGAACCTTTCAACCGATTTGAATATTTTAGGCGTTGATTGAAAGAGCATTTTATTTTCATTTCAAAGAAGAAGAAGCTTGTATTTGAATTGTCGTACTGGGGTTAAATTGACCTCGGATTTGTATGCGACCCCAGAAACATATGAAATACATGGTCAACACCCCCAGCCCGATTTTTTTTGTAGGTGTGTTATTATTCCTAGTCCTGAAGTCTGCTGTCGTTGTTATGTATTTTCTTTTATTTGTTTGGGAATAATAGCAGACCGGTGAGCTGCAGACGCGAGTATTGAAAATAGTAATACAGATTTGACAATCGTAAAAGTACCTAATTACCAAAATCTGCGACTTGTATTTGTACTTTTAGAAATCTAACGTTGTGCTCCTAATGCGGGAGGAAGGTGATTGCCCTTTCCCAAAATAGGATGATATATGAATATGATATAATGTAAGATGGCTGCGATCAATGTTTTTCTTTATATGCTTTTGTTTATATTGCAATAAGGCCTTATAATTATAGATTAAAGATAAGCAAAGTATCTAATTGATAACAATAACAAAATAAAAGGGAGTAAATAAAAACGAGGTGAAAATTGGTTACAATAGGGTACTCATTAAAAGAAAAATGGGAATATGGAAAGAAAGAAAAAACGAGTTTTTTACCGAATCGTCCGATGAGGATAAAGAACAAACAGTAAAAAGAGAAAAGTAAAAGGAAAAGGGAAAAGAAATATATAGGCATCCAAAAGCACAAAGTAAATACAAAAAAGATTATCCTTGGTTATAACTCAATGATGAGAAAAAAGAAGAAGAATTGTTGGAGTTCGTTAGAGAATTCGATGTAATCAATATGAGAGAAGTATTAGTTAAATGAAAGAATACAGAATAAACTATATGCGAAACTAGCCAAAAGTCACATCTGAAGCACAGAACCAGTAAAGAAAAAATATGGTAAAGAATGTGCGGATGCCATGCTGTCTAGAAATAATGAAAGAAGTAGAAATGTAAAGCATAGGTGACATAGAAGGAACAGTAAAAATAAATGTAAACGCAGAAAAAACAGATTTAAAATAGTAGTAGTAGGTATACCATGCATTCCGAAAGTGAAACATTTTTTAAAATAAACCACAATAGGCAAGAAAAAATTTCATATGTACAGATAAACTAATAATTACGATATTAAAAACAACCACGTGGCGATATTAATATACAACTGATTTCTTTATATTACAAATTAAGGGGAAGAAATAGATGCTGAACTGTCTTCCTGGTTCTCCAGTACCTACTTATCTATTTTCTACAGAAAGGAACATTTAATGATAAGGAAGATGCTTAAACTAAGTAGGCTTCCAAAAATTTTTACTTCTATTAATTAAAATAGTTGTTAAATGTTTGATAATTTTATACGTCAAGGTCATAACTATAGCTAATCGTAAGTAATAATGGTATATTCAAAAAGACATGGGTGATGAAAACGTCCTGTACACTTCTTAATCAGCAAAAAGATTTATAACAATTTAATAGCTCTATAAGAATTAAGTGTAATTGAATCCTTTCATTAAACCGACCGTTCCCATTTGAAATCAAGCGGATTAATGCTTTTGCATGCACGGATCCAAAATAAAGAGCGAGTTGATGCTTACTATTAGTTAGTGACTTAAAACATGAATAAAACCCGCTGGTGGGGATCAACGCCTTGAAGACTACTTTCTCTTCTCGTTCTTGTGTTTTGTGTCCACACCATCTGTTAACTGTTAGTTTGAATGGTACATTTGTAGGATATGCTTGTTTGTTCATTAATGCAAATGTCTTTATTCGCTGAACGTGGTTGATATACGTTCTCTTATCTGTGTTGGTGATAGTGGCGGAACTTTTTCTTGTGAATGACTAGTAGTGAGTTGCTGCAATTACAGATATAGACCAGACAGGATGTGTGTCAACTGATTTTACAACAATTTCCTCGAATTTGACCCAACATGAGTTGCCTATATCCGGGTCATCGCAATTTCTTCTTTTTTCTGCCCATATACACTTTACTGGTAGTAATCACTCACGTTCGCACAGGTATGTCATGAGAATGAAGTTTTACTGGCCGTTTTCAAGTGATTTACGGCTTAAATAGATGGCAGAAACACAACATCAAATAGTTAACTAAAGATTATGTTTTGCTTTTAAGCCCAATTATTTTTAGAAGTTGTGTTATTTATTGATTTAAGCTGAACTAAATATTTTATCATAAAACCACGTGCTAATACAAAATGAATCTATTTATGCTATGTTAACAGACATATTAAAACTTACCAATTTTAATGAAGTAAAAATATTCAAAGGTTGTAAACGCCTGAATTCAATGAATACACATATAACCTCATCATTTTGATAATTATTACAATGGAAATATATTCTGACATTACTTAGAGTTAGTACTTTTCACAGACGTTGTATAAGGTAAGAAGAAAATAATAATGAGTATACCAACATAAATCGACCAGAGAGCTACTTAAACCTTTTTATTTTAAATTAGAATTAATACATCTTTGACGAGTTTTTATTTAATATAAGTACCTAAGAAAAATCATAATTTTGTAATTTTTTACGGAAAAAATTCTAACATTTCATAGTCGAAGACAGATTGGTGTTATTGAGGTGCATATGTATTTGACATTATTGTATGCTACTTCCTGAATTTTGTAAACTTTTCATTATTCGAAAACACAAATGTTAGATACATTTTTATTTTAATAACGTTTTATATTGTCATTAAAAGTCGAAGATTTTGACTGTCGATAAACAAAACTATCGTTATCAGTAAATACGATAAATTGTATAGAAAATAATGAGAAGAGTTCAATATCTATTTTTTTTCCTGTTCAATGTAAGAATTAAAACCAACGAAACGGTTTATAGCAGCCGTCAACGTTTTGCCTTTTATTGTTATACAAGTCTTTTTCGAGATAATTAGTCATCTCTGTACGTAGATGATGTTAGATATGAGACTGGTACATATTTTTATTAAAATGTAAACAATAAAAATAAACTTATTAAAAAAATTAAATCAGTTGTATGACAAACCTGTTATCAAGAATGGATCTTATGCAATTAATAATTATCATTTTTTTCATTATAAAACTAAACTAAAACAAAACTCAAATTATTAAATACAGTCGAACTTCCGTAACTCGAATATTTTTTTTGTATGTATGGCGTTCATTTATCTTTAAAAGGAATTTCTCCATTTCTTTACTTCAAGTTAAAAGTTGAAACTTTATATTATGAATATTACTGTCTTCTTAATTCGAATTTCCAATAATATTCATCGGAACAATCAGCTGCAGCGATAATGATCAATGGCTCGACTTTTTATGTTTATAACAGTTATGTATTTCTAGCAACAAACTGCAATAATGTTGATTTGCTGCCGGCCGTTTTTGGCCTTGGGAAAAAGTATATATTATATTTGCTAATGGTCAATGTGACTATAGTCATCAGGCAAATAACGTTATTAAGGATACTATTAGGGAAAATTCTAGTATTTCAAGGAATTTATGGAATTTCATTAATACTAAATTAGGCAAAAAGATTGAAAACTGTAACACGATAAACTTCATTGAAAATGAAAACGGAATAATACGAGACCCTAATGAAATATCAAACTGTATGAACAAAAAAAAGGTCTTAGCCTAACTAACCATAACAGTTTAAAAACAACACGGACACGTGTTTCGCTCACATACACGTTGTGAGCATTGTCAACGGAAGACAGTCTTGTGCGTGTTGTTTTTAAACTGTTGTGGTTAGTTGGAGTAAGACTTTTCTTTTTGTTTATCAATACGCCACAGTCTCCTTTATATTTATTTCAACTGTATTTGGCGAAAGCTTAAGTAAAAATATTAAGTCATCACCGAATGGTAAAATTGAATTGCTTCCCCTATAATGATAAAAGCATTTTTCTTAATCTAACTGATCCTCTCGAAATTCAAAGTATAATTATAACTTAAAATCGAAAGTGGTGCTATTGACAATATTAATACCAAAAACTCTTAAAGCTTTATCTATGCATATCGCTGATCCTTTATCCTATATTTTTAACTTATGCATTGTTAATTCGGTTTGGTCTGACACGCTGAAAATGACGGTAGTGGTCTCTATTTATAAATCTGATCACAACAATAATGCAGTTAATTATAGAACAATATCATTAGTTTCTAACATAGCTAAAATTTTTGAAAAAAAAATCTACAACAGAATATATAATTTTGTTACAAACAGTAAAATTTTGTCCGAAATGCAATTTGGTTTTAGGAAAAATATAGGTACCACAGATGCTCATAAGTTTTTCAACAAATAAAATATATGATAAGCTTGATAAGAGCAAACCTATTGCTGTAACATTCTTAGGCTTGACACCTACTTACCACACGATTATTTTAAACAAATTATATTGTTATGAATTAAGAGGGGCTGTGCATAAGTTGGTATCTACTTATATAAATAATAGAAAACAGGAGGTTAGCTTAGGTGATTTTGAAAGTGATTATATTAATGGTAGAACTGGAGTCCCTCAAGGGACAATTCTCAGCCCTTTTTATTCTTACTCTATGTAAATGATCTACTTCTTGATATGCCTAAAAATTCTATACTCTCTTATACAGATAACACTGCCACTGTTGTATCAGGTGAAACATGGAACGATGTACAAATCGCTAAAAACCTGCATTTAAAAAATGTTTCTAAATGTCTGGCAATTAATAAGCTATCTTTAAATATTACTAAATCTGTATATATAACCATTTCTAACTACAGTGATAGTATACCTGACGGTTTAGATCTGGGTTTATTTTTTGACTCTAATTAAGGTGGTTCAAACATGTTCAATATTTGATGAATAAACTAAAATATCTTATTTGTATCTTTTTTAAATTATCTAAATTCATGTCTAATGAAATCTTAAAGATGGTTTATTATGCTTTTTTTTCATAGTGTTATGCAATACGGAATAATTGCTTGGGGAGGGGCTTACAATAACAATGTAGAAGTACTACAAAAATTACANTCTACTGAAATCTTAGATGGTTTATTATGCTTTTTTCCATAATGCTATGCAACAGGGAATAATTGCTTGGGAAGGGGCTTACAATAATAGTGTATAAGTCTACAAAAATTACAAAACAGACTACAACAATAATTAATAAAAACCACTATTATACTAATTCTCCTCTCAATATCAGGCTATTATTTGCTTATGAATCCCTGAAGTTTAATTATTACAATTTAAAGCAATTATTCATCAATTCTGACTGTAGAACTAGACATATAGTTATATTTATGCAGTGAAACTTTTTAATGACTTACCAAACAGTTGGAAAATAATAGATGTAAAAAAGGAATTTACCAAATTAAAAAAATGGGTCTATGAAAATGTACACTAATGATCTTTTTCTCACTTATTATTAATTGGTAATTGTTAGCATGTAAGTTTCGTGTTTATTTTGCAAGTTTTGCTTTTCGTTTTCTTGTGTGCCGACAGGCTTTTTCGCTTACTTTTTTATAATCATATTAGTTGTAATTTTTCTGGCTTAATAAATTAAATTAGATTAAATTAAATTAAATTAAATTAAATATGTTTTAATTTTGAATAGTCACTGACCTATTTCGATTTTTCTATCTGTACCATGTACCAAATAATTGTTTTTTAAAGCTTTTCTCTCTGACACATCAGAAAATCATTTACTCAAATTTTCTAACTTAATCCAGCACTTACCTAAAATAAGGCAACGGTTTGTTGTCACACACACCGCAGGCAGTTATTTTTGATAAAAATAAAAATAGCAATAACTACAAGAAACCATTTTTTAAAATGTGTGTAGGTGTATCTAGGGTAATTGTATAACGTATACTGTGACCTTTCTATATATTTATCTTTATCTGAAATTGCAACACAAAAATTACACTTGAATAGTTCATGTTATTAAAGAAAATGCTCTTTTGATTAGACATCTGTATAAATATCATATATTTTTATAATTACGTTCCTCTTTGGCTTTATTTTTTCACTTTTCGCAGAAAGACAGTACTTCTTGTTCATAATTGCAGAGATTATTTTAAAAGTTCAACAACTACTTAAGAACTAAATAAAAGAATATGTGTTTATAGTATATATAAATAGGTATGTGGGTGGTATACCAACGAAGTCCTTCGTTACAACTTTAAGAAGTACCTAATAGGATTTACTGTTGAAAATTTGGCATTCGTAATAATTTGATTTGTTCTATTAACATAAAATAGTTTCATTTATTTTTCATTTACGGTTACACCGGAAGTAGGCACTTTTTTTAAACAGAATACCCTTTTATTATATCATTAAATATCTTGGTTATTTTAAAGTTTTATGATGTAAGCCTAGCCGAAAGCTCCACCGCTTATAGGAAATAAACGACCATCTCTATTTCTCCTATTTTTGTCAATAATAGCGCACTCTATTTACACAAACTATTACTGTGTCTATTATTAATGGTCTTTGGTGTCATGCAAAAATTTAAAAAACGTATACAAGAAGTTCTAAAAGCTAATCTGAATATTGCAAACTTCAGAAAACAAATACTTTCTTATTTTAAATGAAACACTTTATTTTCACTTTTCGAATGTAGATTTTTATTCTAAATCGTTTAGTATGCCTGTACCTACTATTTACTGTTAAGAAGATATAATTGATTTTTGTTAATTATATACCACATCCAATACGACCTTTATTCATTTGTGTATTTCCACCCCTATTTCACCATTGCTTTTACGTATAGGTAAGAAGCCTAACGCAAGAGCGACTGTCTCACGTTGTAATCTACCATTCCACGTTACGTACCGACGTAGAGTGCTGTGAAGATACTTAAAACTCACGTTGATTCTCGTTTACGTCGCTCACGTTGTCATCATCTAAGCTTTCGCAAAAAATCTGCTACCGCAACGTACGAATTTGCCTAAAACTAACCTACCAACACAGACGTCTACGGGATAAATGCTGTTACGTACGGTACGTCCTACGTTACGTGGTTACGTAAACTATCTAT